GTAGGAACTTACAATGGAATCTAATAAATATGTCTATAGCTCCCAAGGAACTAACTTTCCAAAAAATTTTTGAAAATCTGTAGCCAATGTAGTCTGATTTCAGGAATTCTCAAAGAGGCACAGTAATGCAGACAGTTTGGGGGCATCTGTTTAAATATATAAGTTAGTGGAACAGAAAAGAGAGTTTAGAAACAGACCCAGGTATATGTTGTCACTTGATTTTTTTTTTTTTTACAAATGTCCAGTGTAATTCAGTGAGAAAGAAATAATAAATGGTTATGGAACATTTGAGAGACTTTGAAGTCTTTTTTCACTCCAGGCAAAACCTTACTAGAAGTGGATCATAGATCTAAATTTAAGGAGCTAAAAAGATAACCCTAAAAAAGAATGTTTTTTCTAATTGCAGTAGGAAAAGTTTTCCTAGGGCATGGAATCAAGAAATCAACAGAAAAAAATCAATATATGGAATTTCATTAAAATTAAAAAATTTGTTCTCAAATAGATACACTGTAACAAGTTACACACTAGTCACAGATGTAGATTTTCTTTGTCAAGTACACATCTGCTAAAGGATTGTTTCCAGAATATATGGAAAACACAACTCAATATTAAAAAACACAAACCCATTAATAAAAGTGAGAAAATATTGCAGTTCTCATTTTACCAAAGAACATTTTCAAATGGCAGGAAAATGAAAATTTGCATGTAACTTGGCATTAAAGAAATGAAATGGAAACCACAGGGAGATTTTTCTATACATCCACCAGAATGTCTAAAATAAAAAATTCTTAGAAGAGTTGAGATTATGAAACAGGAGGAACTCTCATATACTGTTAGTACCTATAGCCACTTTGACAACAATGTGCATTCTTGTATAAGTTATTATATGATCCAGAGAAATAAAAATATGTTCACAGAAAAATGTTTGCATATATCAAAAGCATATATTGTATAACAGCTTTACTCCCTAGAACAAAAACTGGAAAGAAAATAAACCACCAATACATGCAAAAAAAATGGATGAAATTACTGAAATTATATTATATGCATGTTATACCATAGTAAGTCTAAAACAAAGCTTTTTTTAATCAAATAGCATTTCTTATAGAATTATTCAGTTCTGATTTGGTACAGTTCTTAAATCCATGAATTTTGAGACATACCAATGTGCTATTTTTTTTTTACAAATTGGTATTACATATTTAATAGATCTTTTACCCCTAAAACAAAATTTAGGTTATATATTCATTGAATATAGTTTCCATTGACCCTAAAGTTTAATGGCATATTACTGGAAGTACAGTTTCAGTGTTGTTAAATGGCACATCCTTAAAGGTGGCAATTGTTTTTTAATAGGGTTTTCATAAATTTGAGACCTAACTTTTATCTTTACCTAGCAAACAAAGATTTAACATTATTAATTTACTTTGTCTGGTTAGATATGTTAAAAATGATAAAACATAGTAGTATTTAAGTCAGAGAAGAGAAAAAAGCTGAAATTTAAGACATGGTGCAAGATATTTTCTAATTTATATCCAATATTGGTTATTTATTTCCAATTAAAATAGTCATCCATCATGCTAAAATATTGTTGTTAATTAGAATTTTCCATGCTTTGGTAGTTTTGTTTGTGATGAATTTGTAAATTGATTTTGGTCTTATAGCTGAATAAGCACTATGTAAAAGGTGTTGAAACTTAATTTGTACATACGGTATTAACACTAAAATAAATATAATTTAAGTCACATTAAGGGAACAATATAATTACATATTAAAATAACCCATTCATTATTCAAGTTTGAGGAAACTGATTAAAAGCATTAAAAAGTATGTGTATATATATACATATGTATATACACAATTTATACATATAAATATGACATTTTCTATATATATTACATGCAAATGTTTATATGTTTGAATTGTCTGTATGTGTATATATAATTATACAATGCCTTTCAGTTGACAAAATAGTACCTTACATTATTTTGTCCTCAAAATTCATTTTGCAAGAAGTCACTGTTTTTTGGCATTGTACCCACATTTCTGTGATATTGAGCAAGACCTAATTCATTAGTAAAATGCTGACTTAATTCATTAGTAAAATAAAAATAATGTGTATTTCCTAATGCTTACTAGTTGGTTACAGTGGCAATTTATAGTGACAATCGTGTGCTAAGGATCACAGAAGCTATAATACACATGCTTGCAACTTCTATATATCTACGACTCTTTAAACTTCATAAGGTCATTGATTGAGCCTGCTTTTTAATATTTTTTATAAAATTAACAAAAAAAAACCTATTATGGATAAAAATAGAATAATGAACACAAAATCTTTCTAGAGATAATACATGCAGATAGAAACTTGCCCACAAAGTTGATCATAATTTTAGGCTAATACTCTATTTTAAACAAGCTGACATAGTTTAAGAAAGCAATGAAACTCTAAAAACAACATGAATAAGAATTAAAAACTCAAATATGAGATAGAGACATGCATGATTGGAAAAGAGGACTGTCAGAAAAGAGAGAAAAAGAAAAAAAAATACTCAGACTTGGAAACTAAATCATAAAAGTGCACACAAAAAATTAAACACTATAAAGGAAAATAAAATTAAAAATCAAGAAAAAGATAAAATGAATTTGAGAAAAATAAATATATTTTAATATAGACAATATTATTCTAATTTTAAGAAATCTATTGTGTAGACTATAAATGAATAAGGAGAGATTAACACACCTGGTTTGAAAACTTTCAAGAAATGGCATACTTCAGTTTGAGAAAATTACAAATTTATTTTTCCTAGTTACTTTGGACTTAAGAAAGCATAGCTGTTAAACAAATTTTAGCAATTGCTTTATTCAAATGTAGAACATTTGTTCAAAATGTGAGCAATTAATATTATTTCCAAAATTAATATTTATGAATAAAAAGTGGTATCTCCTCTCAATTATTATCAACATTAATCCTATAACACTTAGTCACAATTTTATGTGTGTGTATATATATATATGTATATATAAGCAAAATTTGGATTTATAATGGGTTTGGTTTTTAAAAATGTGATTCTTTACTTCTTCTCACCATGTTATTTTTCTCTTTCCTTAATTTTATGCCTTTCCGTGTAATATGTCTTACTTCCTAACCTCTTACTCTCACTCCTTTTCTATTTCCAATCTTTGTCTCTCTTACCATCTCTCCTTTTCTCTGCTTCCTTCTCTAGCTCTAGTTCTGTCTCTCATTGCTTCTGTTAATGTCTCTTTGAATCACTCATACTTATTTTCCAGAAAACATTTTTTCATTTGGTAAATAAGCTCCAGAGACATCCTACACATGTTTTTTTCACCTGTTACCGTGCCTAAAGTTGAAGGCTATTGCTATTACAAACTAGCAATGAGACCTTACTAAGTTAAACAAATATTGTTTAGAAAAATGGCAAACACTTACTTTGCAAGAAAACTGGCAAACATATTACATCCTGTGTGTTTTCAGAATATAATGAAATGCATGGAGAAAAAGTTCCTAACACTGTTCCATGGTAGGGATTCAATACATCTAACTTTGAATGTTGAGGTTACATTTTTCCTAGTTCTGACTCAAGCAAGAAACTTCTCTCTTTCCTAAACAACTCCACTAGCTAAATAGTAACAATGGATAATTTTCCCAGTATGAAGGTATTGAAGCTACCCCTAAACCCAAGTAGAGCTTCCAGTAAAATGGGGCAATGACAAATGGGAATGAGTAAGTCTAAAAGAATTGTGTGCCACTTCAGTAATGAGAAGCAGTTTTTAGTCCAAAAGGCAATGAGAACCAGAACATGTAGTGTTTAGGGTGACTGGGGAGTAATACTAATTAGTGACACTACTACTACTATTAATAATAATAATAACTGGCAAATAATAATAATACTGAGTAAACATGCTATAATGAGCATGTCCTACAATGGTGAACCACTAAACATTTTTTCATTTTAGCCGACCTGTCCTTTCCTTGTCTTTCCCTCTCTATCTCAGTGACTGCTTTCCCAGTCTTTCTTCCTTTGGCTAATACCTAATACCTTAAATAGCTTTCTCTCTTTACTGGTTCATTAAAAAGTATTATCTTTTCCCTAACTTTTCTGTTCCTAATGAAGCATGCAGTCCTTTTGAAGCTTTCTAAGGGTATTTTCTTCCTGAGCAAAAATGTACAATTACAGTTACAATTGTACAGTTAGCCTAAGATATGTATTTTTTAGATGACTCAGAAGTCCAAGGCCACCCAAAGATGGTAATGAGTAAAAGGTATATTTAAGAAATGATAATAAATGTCTAAATTAAGATTCAATTTCAATTGAAACTGCTTTCAGTTTCTCTGTTTTAGCTTTCCTACATATTTCATTTCATTTGTCTAGAGGGAGAGTTGTGTAGTGACAAGTGGAATGGGCCTGTGGAAGGGGGCTGGCTGTGTGATATGGATATCATGAGGATGTGTTGGAGAAGGGGTTCAGGAATATACTCTATCTTTGTTGCCTTAATGTTACCGTCCTGTCACTATAGCTGTCATGGTACAGTAGCCTCATCTCTAGCTAAGTGGCAAACAGTTCAGGTCCAGAGATTATTGAGAAAAAAAGGTTTTGGAAGGTACAGATTAAATTAACTCTAGTTTGATTAGTCTCTTCAACAGAGCCCGAGTCAAGGATTTGCGTTCATTTAGTTCCTTTGGTACTTTATCCAAAGAAGCAGTAAAGAAGGAGTTAAAGGAGAGTTAAAGAGGAAAGGAAGGTGCATTATGGAGGACACCATGAAAGGCAACCCGTAGAAGTTATGCAAACTGTCTCCCTGAATGATCCATCAAGTTTTTGGGTAGTTAAGAATTACCCCTGGTTAGCTGCCCCCATTTCCAACCTGTGCTTTTTCATATTTTAAGCATCTCCATGGCATCAAAAAAAGCCATCCATAAGAAAAATTACATCTTTTTTTTATTTCATCAGTACAGAACCATCATGGAGCGAGCCATTGTCAGGAGGAATCAAAGCATCCATCACAACTGTAGCTGACGAAGGAAAGGAGCCAAGAGGCGGTGACTCCAGCTATGCTGAGCTGCCCTGAATTAGGAATTGTCTGTAATTTGAATGCCAAAGGATGAAGAGGTAACAGAAATTTAGCCCAATTTATGTTTATTTATTTAATGCATATTTATTAACTGCTTAGTATGTGCAAGTCATTGTTGTTTGGCAGTATTAAAAGATGGGCAAGCCTTCCTTTCTCTATGTTCGTAGTGTAATGGATGTAAGGGAGAGGGACCAAGCCTACAAATCACATGGGACAAATGTGAGAGTATGGACCAGATAGTGTATAAATGTAACAAAGGTGGAATTGTAGGCACTAAAGTGATTAACATAGTGATTTATTGGAGGAATGATTTCTAAGCTAAGCATGAAGATTCAGTTGGAATTACATAGGCAGTAAAAGAATAGGATACTCTCTAGCTAAAGAAACATAAAACTTTCTAATTCTTGCATGATCAATATAGGAATACTTTCATATTTTATAGGCAGCTCTGAAGTGGATGGGGAGCTATTTACAATAGGGTCTAATATACATTAAATCTTCAATAAATATTAACTTTATTAATATCACTTCATTACCATCATCATCAATATCTTGTGTACCTTAAATAATCCCAAATAATGCCAGTGTTTCAGAATCCCTTTGCTAGTGGGTGTCCCCGAAATATGTAAAGTTAGAGCTAAAAGTTATAGCGATTGTCAGGTCCTGAGACCTGTGTGAAATTAATGCAATGAGAAGCATCTGGTGGCTTAGGTTTTTATAAGAAGAAGTTTTAATACTAGGAAATGCACTGTAAGAGAATGGATAAGAATCTAAGGTTTATCATCAGAGAGATTTTTTTTATCTGAGTCTCCAGTTACTAATTTCATGAATTTTAACAATAAATACTTTGATTTTTGAAACTGCAAAGTGGGTACATTAATTATATCTACCTTATGAATAGTTATGAAAGTTAAAAGATATCATTCATGCACAGCATTTAACATAGTGCCTGAACCATCTTTTGTTGTCAATAAATGTAGATTATTATTTCCTCCTTGATTTTAAAGACTGAAATGCAGCAACTATTTAACCAAACTAATATAAATATTTTCAAAAATGTTATTTTCCAATAGTATTCAATAGGACTACCCACTATTCTAATAGTTATAAGATAGATTAGATAGTTATAAAAGCTGCCTTCCTGCAAATTGCTTTCAATAATTTGGATTCTTTTCCTGTTGTTTTCTTATAAGTTATGAGCACTTTATACATCAATAAAATTTAATAGATATGGGCTTCTCATGTTGAAGCAGTTTCACAAAGTGATAGAACAATCAGTTGGATTTGACCAAGTATAACTGTGGTCCTAATATTAGAGCTAAGTAGAGATAATATTAGCCCTATGGTAAAGCTAATATGAGCCACCTCCTCTAATCACAGAACTTCCCCAGGTTAGGGACAGCTTACATTGTATTCCAAGGTGCTGGCAGTCCTGATGGAAATCAGGCAGTGGGACCAAGTAATAATGAGACATAATTTGACACTCCCATTTACTGGGGAGCTAATTTTGTTGTCAGTGTGCATATGCTTGTGAGAAGAGTGTACAAATGTGCTCTTTAGGCCACATAGATTATGAGAGGGTAGAGCAATCATTTAACTTTAATGCTATGCTGACTTAGAAGAATGGTTCTGCCAATTTATTTCATTATAGGTCAAGGTTTGTTACTTTGAGTAATTCATTTTGAAATAAAATTCTGCCTCATATCTAAACTCTTAGTTTTGCTCTCAGCAACTTTTGTCTGAGTAATGTCACCACAGTAATCAGATACATCTGAATTCACATAATGTCGTTCTCCTGTTCAAACTGCTTTAAAACTTCCTGAAATAAAATTCACATGATTTAGGCTGGTGTTCACAGTCCTTCATAATCTGTCCATACCAAACCCGCCATTCTTCTCTCCTCATCCCTCATCTTATATCTTACATATGGTACAGTCCCATGATTATTTCTCAACTACACCATTTAACTTCACACCTTTGAACTTTTCTACATGCAGTTTCTTATACTAAACACTTTGCACCTTAATTTTCTGTACCTAACAATAGCCTGCTAGTCTTCGGAACCCACCTACAAAGGTCAACTTCTCCCTATAAATTACCTTGACTGCCAGAGGCAAAAAACTATTCCCTCAACACAGTGCTGACATCTTTTATTACAGTACAAAACAGGTCCCATATAAGGAAATTTGGTACATTTCAGCCTAAACATTTCATTTGATTATAAACCATTAATGTTAGAGACTGTATCTGATTCATTTTTTTAGAATAATTCTGAAGCCTAACATGCTACTTTGCACATATTAGGCACTCCAGAAGCAACAAATGTTTGCTAAAATACCTCATCATTTTATTTATTTATTTATTTATTTATTTATTTTTTGAATTTTGGTAACATTAATCTACAATTACATGAAGAACATTATGTTTACTAGGCTCCCCCCTTCACCAAGTGCCCCCCACATACTCCTTCACAGTCATTGTCCATCTGCATAGTAAGATGCTGTAAAATCACTACTTGTCTTCTCTGTGTTGCACAGCCCTCCCCATGCCCCCCACGCACTATACATGCTAATCGTAATGCCCTCTTTCTTTTTCCCTGTCCTTATCTCTTCCTTCCCACCCATCCTCCCCAGTACCTTTCCCTTTGGTAACTATTAGTCCACTCTTGGGTTCTGTGATTCTGCTGCTGTTTTGTTCCTTCAGTTTTCCTTTGTTCTTATACTCCACATATGAGTGAAACATTTGGTACTTGTCTTTCTCCACCTGGTTTATTTCACTGAGC